TATGTATATAAGAATAAAAAATTTTCTGACCAGTCATTTGAACAATGAAAATTGTCAGCTTATGTAAAAAGGAAAACGTGGCACCAGCCTAAGGAAATCTACTCTGTTCTAAGCAGGGAAGTCTCTGGAAGAATCGTGAATGTGCTCATACTGAACAACAGCGAAGCTAATGAAACCCGAGCATTTTCAGCACACACGCCAGGTCCACACAGGAATGCGGGAAGGAACACAGCAGAAGACAGTGCGTGCTCTCCCTGCAGCCCTGAGGATCTTAGGTGTACAATCCCAATTTTGCCACTTGCACATGCGGAAACCCCAGAACACTAATTGGAACCTCAGCCATCTCCCATTCCTCCCAGTGACCCCACCTGGAATCTTTCCGGGGCTATCCTGGGGATCAGCACGTGGATCCTGGAGCCAACCATCCTCCCTGCGAATGCTCAATACGAGTCAGCATGGCTATCTCTCACTGCTCTAAAACAAAAGCTGTGTGGTTTGGTTTTTCAACCAGTTGGAGTGCTGTTTCTCCTCTTATTTACTAATTGTGACTGTTTTTTAACTTAATATTCTAAACACTCTCCTAAAGAGTAAAGAGGTATTAAGTACAAAGGTGGAAGTGAAAGCCTTTCGGCTCTCTCACCATCCATCCTTGGCTTGCTTCTCACTTATGCTGAAGATGAGAACAGAGGAATGTGAAACCTAACTGCCTGTGCAGACTTTAGCTTGGCTTCACAATGCAATCCATTCAAATTAACTCTTTGGTAAGCATGGGCTGACCACGTTCTGCCTCAAAACCTGAGTGGCTAAATTAAGACACAAACTTTTAAAGTACTCACAGAAGCTATACTTGGTTTGTGTACAAACCACTGAAAAGGTGACTCATAGAGCTAAAGCTCTCATCTAAAGAAAAGAAATTCTATCAGCAGTCATTGTTTTTTAAAACAATGGTGAGGAAGAGGAGGGTTACAGAGGGTTACGCAGGGCAACACTTAACCTTTGCTTCTCTACCCATTCCTATTTTCACCGACTAAAGATAGAAAAATACTACACCAAAAGGACAATTTACCAGTACTAAACATTTTGATCCAAGATTCTATACAAGAATCCTGATAAAAATGGAGAAAATGCAGAACAGAATTTTAAATCCTCATGGACTCTAGACTTTCTGTAGCCATGGGGACTGGATGAACCCCCAAAACTACATCAACCAAAAATATCCCCTGAAATCCTCTTAGAACAACAGTTCTTTGCACTGGGAAACTCTGCAGTCAGAGACCTGTCCAAATTACTGAGGAGCAATGATGTTAATCTGAGGACTAAGGTGCACCTGATTGATACTATAGTCTTTTGGATCATTTGCTATGCATCTGAGAGCTGGACAATGAATAAGGATGACAGAAGAAGAATTGAGGCCTTTGATCTGCAGTGTTGGAGTACTGACCATGCCATGGATTGCCAAAACATCAAACAGATATGTCTTAGAGAAGGTGAAGCCAGAGTGCTCCTTGGAAGCAAGGACAGTGAAGGTTTCATCTCACATACTCTGGATATGTTGGGGAAGGAGAACATGCTGGGAAAGGGCACTGAAGGAAAAGAAGAGCCTCAGACTCAACCAGGTGGGTTGACAGAGTAACTCCAGCTATGGGTCCGAGTATGTCAGAGATAAAGAAGATAGCACAGGATAGGACAGGGTTCAGATCAGCTGTTCATTGGGATGCTATGAGTTGTACTCAACTCTCTGGCACCTAACAACAATAACAACAGCACTACTGAGTTTATTTAAGAGCTATGTATATGGGATCAAACTGATGACAACCCAGATCACACAGAAAACCTGGGGGTCACTGAGTTTCCATTAACAGGGAGGAGTAACTGAGCAAAAGGCAAGTGACACAACTGTCCAAATGTAATCACCGGGACTGACACCTGGGGAACATGCTGAATCACTGTATATCTTGCTCTGTATATTCTCAACAACAAAACCAAGGTTTTCCATTTAACGAAGATAATGCTTACCAACATTATAAATACTCTGATAGGGAGATAAGTACACACACAAACACAGACCTAGAATTCTTTTCTATCCCCTAGTAAACTTTATTATGTCATATTATAACATCTATAGCCATTTCCAAATTGTAGTTATGATGTGCCATCGAGTCACCGGCAACTCACATAGACCCTATGAACAACAGCCTCAAACCCTGCTCTATCCTGTGCCAACCTCATTGTCTCTGACACACCCAACCCCATTACCCCAGTCACTGAATCAATCCACCTCATTGAGGGTCTTCCTCTCCTGCGCTGTCCCTCCACCCTCCCAAGCATGATGTCCCTCTCCAAGGACTGGTCCCTCCTCGCAACATGTCCAAAGTATGTCAGACGGAGCTTCAGGATCCTTGCCTCTACAGGAGCAGCCTGGTTTCACCCTCTCCAGGACAAACCTTTTCGTTCTCCTAGCAGTCCATGGTATATTCAATACTCTTCTCCAGCACCACAGCTCAAAGGCATTAATTCTCCTTCTATCATCCCTAGTCACTGTCCAACTCTCTGACGCATATAGCACGTTACTGTGAAAACCATGGCCTGGATCAGGCACACCTTAGTCTCCAGAGTGACACTGTATTATTTAAAAAAAAAGAAAAGAAATCTAAGCATAGCCAATGTATTAGCAGGGGTCTAAACACTTGGGGTTTGTATGTGTGTATAAATTTATGTGTATGATGAAGGAGCTCTGGTCATCTAGTCCATAGAGAGTTGTGCTGCTAACCCAAAGGCCACACCTCTCTGGTGGTTCGAATCCACGAGATGCTCCTCGGGGATGGGAGGGTGTGATGAGCAGTACCTTCCCAGGTGATCCACAGCTTCAGAAACCCAACAGAGGGTCAACTATGAGTTGGTTCCAACTCGATGGCAATGAAGCTGAGGGGTTTTCTGGTGGTCTAGTGGATAAGGAGTAGTGCTGCCCATGTAAAGGCATGCAGTTTGACTTTTTAAGCTGCAGGAAGATAGGAAATCTCCTCCTGTGCAGTTTATAGCCTATGAAATCCCACCAGAGGGTCAGCTATGAGTCAGTACTGATTAGATACTACATAACAACAAATATAAAATTAGATAAAAAGGAAAAGTTACAATTAAATGCCAGGCTTTTAAAATTCACTTTTAAAAACAGTTAACTTCAGTAATATTTTCAAGTAAATGTAACAGAAATTATGACAGTGGTGAGGAAATAAATACTAGCTAGATTCTAATACAACATAGCATATTCTATAATAAATCTGGAGAAAAACTGAACTCTGACATCGGGTCACCCCAGGCTTCCAAGGCTGTCAATCTGGACAGGAGCAGACTGCCACATCTGTCTCCTATGGAACAGCTGGTAGGCTAGAACCACCAACCTCGGGTTAGCAGTTAAACGCTAGACTACAGTGCCTCTGGGCTCACACGCTAGATTAATAAGAGGCAAATAGGAAAAATTCCCACTGCCTAACCCTGGTTTTCATCAAATTTTTGGAACAGACTGATTAGTGATCAGTGAAGTAAGCAAAGAGATGGTTTCTTTAAAGCAAATTTTGCAACATTAAAATAAGCCAACGTGATAAGTTTTCTAACAAACGGTAGCAAATGATACACCCAAGAGAGTCTGTGCTGGTTTCCTAAGTATACAAAGAAGGGTTTGCCTGCAATGCTTCACTTCTGCAGACATATTAACCAGCAGCTGTTTGGATAACTCCAAGAGGCAAGGTAGTCAGTCAGTCATCTTTTAGAAATAGATGTAAACATACATACTGTAGGTGGTGTCATTTCAACTCCCAGAAATCCCTACAAGTGACCCAAGGGCAGTTCCCCTCCCTTCTTCCAGAGGCTGAGAGTTAAGAATTTATAAACAGGGAAAAGATTTTTTACTCTTCTGATACCACTACCCTAAAACAGTATTTCCTCTATAACTGAAATGCTTGAAAACTTTTTTGTTTTGGATTTGAAGGTTCCCTTAGTCATATAGAACAAACTGATGAACAAATATGGAATGAACAAGGAACTAAAATACACTGGAAGTACAAAAATCATAGTTTCACTGCTTATGGAAAATGTACCAGTGGGTCAAAAGTATTCAAGATCTTTTACATACATACACACACGTATATGTATGTAAATACATATATATCCATGTATGCATACACATAGATATATATATGTGTGTGTATATATATATTTAACACTTACCTTAATGTATTCACTGACTGCATTTACCAACCCTTTCTCATGCTATGAACTTTGTATGTTATAAAGACCACAATTACCCCAAAAGCACCTGCATTAAGGTTTTAACTAAGATACTACGAAGTATTTAGAAAAAAGGTAATATTACTAGTTACAAAACTCTAAACTTGAGAAATCTAAGGGACTAAGCGTCATCAAATATCCAGTTAAACCAGGATGACTGTAGTAAGATTGCAGTAATCAAAGACAAAGTGGGGTTATTTAAGAAGGGCAAAGAGAGATACAAATACTTCTCTTGGTGGTTAGGCCAACAAATCCTAAGAGGATAATTATAAAACAATGTCATTTGCTTGGCTACTTGTACACTTAATGGACAAGAGCAAAAATGTGAAGCAATTTGGGATTAAAATGTCATAATCTCAGCCAATTCTTGATTACTTACACTAGCAAAAAAGGATGTCATTTTAAGTAATTCAAATAGTTGCTGCAAGTTCTCCAGTTAGTGTTACCTGTGATGAAGCTTCTCCCTTCGAGGTCTTCCCACTAAAGATTTAGCGTTTTGAGCTCCAACCAACAAGCCAAGCAATGAGTGAGAGGAGGCTGCAGGGACAGACCACCCGCCAGGAATGGAACTGATGTGTCTGCTGACATATTCTAATAAATATACTCCATGCCAAGCATGCTTTGGCATCCTCTCTCAAACGGGAAGCAATGACTAAGACTTCCCCAGCAAGAGCAAAGCATGCCAGTGCCAAGGCGAGAGATGGCGAGGAGCTTACCTCCTGCAGGAGATCCGCTTGCTCGATGGCTTTCAGGACATTTTTCTTGGAAGTTTCCTGAACTTCCCCTCCCAGAAGAAACTCATCCAAAATAAAATACGCCTTCTCAAAATTAAAGATGATGTCAAGTTCACACACCTGAAAAGCAAGAAAGAACTACTAAAATGGGAAGAAAGGGGAAACTCTTCTGGGGGGCGGGGGGGGGAATTCTTTCTGAATGTGGCAAGCACGCCCTCTAAGGTCTATCAGCGACTGCGCTTGCTTCACGTTCAGATTCCAAGTACTTAAAAACAGTTTCTCCAAGCCAGGGAAGACCTAATTCAGCACTCTCCCCCAGGGGAAACCACATCACTTTCTACCTGCAGAACCTGGTGTTTAAATGTGTATTTTCTGGATAGTATGATTAAACTGCTAACCAAATTTAAGTTTTCTACTAAGCATTTCTAGAGTAGTAGCATGTTTACCCTCAGACTCCTTTCTGTTTCCGATTTTAAACCCCATTCTCATTGTCCTAATTGAGTAGGTCTGTAGGGTCACACAATTCCAGCAGCTAACGGGGCAGGCATGTTGACAAGAAATTGTCATTCCGTCTGTCTCACAAAGCTACACGGAGGATCCCACAATCAACTAATAACCTTGTTACAGGAAAGACTTTAAAAAAAAAAAAAAACAAAAGCAAAGCACTATGACATTTAATTTCTTAAACTACTACTCACACTGCCAAAGTACTTGTCAAGGAGTTCCACGTAACGATGAATTATTTCCAGGGTAATGAGTTCATTGTCCTGATCCTCAATAGCACAGCAAAAGTACAGACTTGCATATCTGGAACAAAACACAATCGGGGAGGGGGGATTTACCCTATAATCATGTTTTCTAAATAGATTTCATTATGCTTCTGGGAAGTGCCCATGCTTAGTTTCTGAATCCTTTCACGACACTAGAGATGATTTTTATCCTGGACTATGAAACTGATCAAGGATTCTAAGAGCAGTTTTTTTTAAAGTACAGACAAGAAAAGGGCGCTCTGGGAGAAGACATCATGCTTGGAAAGGTGGAGAGGACAGCACCAGAGAGTGAGAACCAGATGAGGTGGATTGACAAAGCAACTAGAGTAATGGGGGCAGGTATGTCAGAGACAGACAGACTCAGGAGAGAGCAGTGGTTCAAAGCAATTGTACGTAAAGGGCCTCTATGAATCGCGGCTGACTTGATGGCACAAGTGCTAAGAGGGGGCAATGCATTCTCAAGGCCCATGGTTTGAATCCAACAGTTGCTCCACCAGAGAATATGCAATCTGCCATCTACACCCTCTGAAAAGCCACTGGAGAGTCAGTTATGACTCGGCACACAACCACCACCACCACCCTCCCCCCCCCCAAAAAAAATCACTCCATCATGCTATGTAGAAAAATTATTTGGCTATTCTTCTGTTTCAGTTCCTTCCTATGGCTATTTTTAAACACAGCCTACTCAGATTTTCCTTTCATGAAAACAAAATACATTTTGCATCAATTTAAACTCCAAGCAAACAGGAAAAGTAACCCTCCAACTCAAGGGCTCATTGATTATATGGGTCAGTTCCAACTCTACAGTACACAACAACCACCCTTGAAGATCCACGTGAGGATGTTTTGGAACTTAAAACACCAAGAAGAATGCGAAGCCATGGGCGTACTTGTGGTATATAATGAGTTTTCATAGTAAACCCACCGATAAGCCAGCACCAGGCTAAGGAGGAGACCAGGACTGGAGTCTTCACACTCCCTTCAGTCACACCATTCACCCTAAGGGGAAACTTCTGTCTTGATTTCTAACAGCATAAAATTGTTTTTTAAAGGCCTTAATACAGAAATACTAGTCCAGAAAATGAATGATTTGGACAGAATCCTGATTTCACAGATGTTAATTCCTAATTTTTTAAAAAAAAAAGATTTCTAGGATTATGGAAAAACCCCAAGAAAACAGTTCCCAGTTAGAGAAGTTAGTTGCAGAACTGAAAACTACTGTCGCTGAAGGAAAACCAAGACCAGCCCGTCAGCTTCTCAGTTCTACACTGTTGAACTGGAGTTTGACCTATTTACACGTCAAGAAAGGGAGCTCTGGTGGCCTTGTGTTAAGAAGCTGTGCTGCAATCCCAGAGGCTCATGGTCTGAATTCACCAGCTGCTCCGCAGGAGAAAGAAGAACACTTTCTTCCTGTGTGATTATTTCCCTCTGAAAACCTGCTAAGTGGTTTTGGAAGTGACGGGTCAGTTCCAACTTTAAGGTACACAACAACAACAACGCTTGAAGAAATAAAGTCTCATATTTATATCCACATTTAGGATCCCAATAAGAGAGAACAGATCATTCGGGAGGCTGGGCTTTATGAGGAGGAATGTGGCATCAGTATTGGAGGAAGACTCACAACAACTTGTGTTACGCAGATGTCACAACCTTATTTGCTGAAACTGAGGAGGACCTGAAGCTTTTGCTGCAGAAGATCAAGGACTGCAGTTTTCAATACGGATTGAAGCAACATCAAGACAAAGATTCTCACCATTTGGCCAAATGGCAGCACCGTGATAAGATGGAGAAGAGACTGAAGTTGTTAACAATTTCAGCTTGCAGGGCTCCACAATCAACATTCTTGGCAACAATAATCAGGGACCTCTCCAAAGTGCTTAAGAGTAATTATGTCATTCTAGGGTCTAAGGTGCACCTGATCCAGGTCATGGTCTTCATAATTACTTACTATGCATCAGAAATGCTGGACAACAACTAAGGATGATAGAAAAAGAATTGATGCCTTTGGTGCTGGAGAAGAATATTGAACAGACCATGGCCCACCAAGAGAGAAAACATGTATGTCCTAGAAAGGGGGAAACCAAGTTGCTCTCTGGAGGTAAGGATTTTGAAGTTCTGTCTCACCTACCTTGGGTATGTTGCCAGGAGGGACCATTCCTTAGAGAAGGACATCATGCTTGGAAAGGTGGAGAGGACAGCACCAGAGAGTGAGAACCAGATGAGGTGGATTGACAAAGCAACTAGAGTAATGGGGGCAGGTATGTAAGAGACAGACAGACTCAGGAGAGAGCAGTGGTTCAAAGAAATTGTACGTAAAGGGCCTCTATGAATCGCGGCTGACTTGATGGCACAAAACAACAAAATTCTGCTTCAGCCAAGGTAGTCAAACATATATTGCTAACAAAAGTCTCAGGTAAAATAGTACTTGCCATTGAGGAGCACATAAATGACTGTAAAACCAATCCAATGGGTGGGTAGCCCTGGAGTCTTAACAGCTTGTGAACAGCAGCCTCCCTATGCAGAGCAAAGGAGGGTGAAGGAGGTCAGAGACCATGAATCCAAAGTCCCAAACAGACCTCTAGACGAGCAGAGGCAGAGGGTGCCCGGATTTCCCTGATGAGCATTCTGAAAGTGATCGCAATAGAAGGTCCCCGACAGAGTGGGAGAAAAGGGGACGAAAACTCAAAATGAGGACCAACGGCAGGCTCTCCCTGCTGGAGGCTGGGGTAACAATGAGACTACGACCTTAGCCACTAACATACTCCCACAGTCCAACTTTCAGACAAACAAGCAGATTTCTATAGCGATGAGGCCAGGGGCACAGTCCGTAGCATGTTTGTTGGGCTGGATGTCCTCAGTGACTGGGACCCACTATCAGCTCCATGGTAGAAAGATGAGTAGCCCCCGGCAGTACAGATTCTCAGCCGCAAAAACCCGATGTAGGGCTGCTATGGGTCATAGTGAAGGCAGTGAGTTACAAGGCGAACAGTGCCAAGGAGGGAGAGCACTCCCCTAGCACAAAGAAACCACTGGAGTTGGAAGGACAGGGTAAAGCTCAAAGGCCACGGAGGAGAGAAGGATGATGGGAAACAGGAAGTGGGAAGGGGGCCTGTAACAATGTTAAGAAACAAAGTATCTATGAATAGAAACCAATTTGCTCTGTGAACTTTCACTGAAATCACAATTTTGAAAAATCACACACCCACACACAATGGGTCACTACTGCCTGTAGCAGTAAAGTGAAATAGCATATAGAAAAGCACACATAATTTGTTTGGGGATTTTAACTAATATGAGAAATCCAAAATATTTCATATTGTTATCCAATATGAAAATGACTCTTGTTATGTGCCACCAAGTAGACACCAACTTAGAGCTGACTGTCCAGCGACTTTGCAGAGGCAGTTAATTGCATGGGAGGAAAGTGCCTGGGTTTTCTCCGCACAGCAGCTGGTGGATTCGAACCTCCTGCCTTTAGTTTGGCAGGGCACCCAGCATTCGGCTCAGCTGCCGGAGCTCCCGCAGAAATGACGAGTATTGATATATGTAGCTATCTGGTCAGTTTTGACTCAGCAACCCAGTGTAGCCAAGCAGAATTCCCCATAGAATCTTCTTGGCTAAAACAATTTTTTTATTATTATTTATTATTTTGTGTGCGTGTACCGTCAAATCAGATCTGACTGGTACAGGAGGATATTGTGCCTCCTTCTCCGGCAGAGCATCTGGTGGATTCGAACCGTGTTCCTCTGGGATTGCAGTGCAGCTTCTTGCCACTAGGCCACCAGAGCTCCCCTCTGAAACAATTTTTAAAAAATAATTATTTAATAATATTGATGAATATTCCAATTAATCCTCACAAAGCTCCTAGGTACATGAACCAGGACTCAAACCCAATCTCTTTGAAACTAGCATATTGAAAGGAGAAAAACTGAGATAATGCTTGCTCTTTCCAGTAACCATCAAGTCTTCCCAAACAAATGCCGTCCGATTTATCTTCCTGAGCAGGCAAGACTCCTCCCTGGAACAACCTTCAGCCCCAGTGAAACTGCCAATTTTTCTTGGCTTTCCTCCTTCACCTCTCTCCAGCATTGTTGTTTATGTGCTGTCAAGTTGGAACCGACCTGTAGCTGACCCTCCAGGAGGCTTTCTGAGGCTGATTATAGTGACGAGAAGGAATCCTGGAGCAGAGCACCAGCCTCGACTTAAGTGGACCATCTCCTCTTTCCCATCCCTCCACCATGTTTCTGTTTAGAAGGTAATGGAGGAGTCAAACTACCTTGCCGAGCCTACACTTACCAAACCGAAGGGTGAATTTGGGGAAACTGATCCAAATGACACATAAGACCCCTATTTTAAGAGAATTAAAGATTATAGGAATCAACAAAAATAGTAGCTATGACTAAGCCAGTTATATAAACTAGCTTATATGAACAGTGTTAGATAATTTCATCACACAGAGCTTTTGAATCTTCCAATTGGAGTAAAAGGGCTCCTTTACTTCTTCAGTGCTGCTTGTTACTTACACACCCCAAGACACGCACCATCGTCCATATGCTTTTCCTTACCAATAGGCAGCATTTAAACACCAGGCAAAGATCATTTGGCAACATTCATTTCAAAATTATCAGGCAGGACTGATGTGTCTGTGTCAAGTAGTAACATTTAAAAAAACAAAACAAAACCAAATAAAGCCACACCACTACAAGACTATTTGGGGAGCTCTGTTGGGGACGAAAAGCTGGGAAATGAAGGAATTCGGAATTCAATGGACATAAACTTCCAGGAATCAGGATTAGAAGACTGCATCTCCCTTGCAGAAAAGCTGAAAGAAAGAAACCCAAGCTCTACAATGCCAGAGTCAGGCCCTAAATGTTAGCTAAGGTGTTAGTAACTTTTAAAGCATTTTAGTCCTGTGAAGGAGAGGGGAAAATGTTATTGTTTGCCTTCACAGGAGACCAGTGCTTGAGTACACTGCCCAGGGAAAGTGATCAGACTTTTGACTCGAGAGCCTGTGTTTCTTTATTAAATACTCCAGTGAAGAACTGTATTGAAGTCATCTTGCACCTGGTAAAAAATTAAAGTATGTTTAAAGCAGTATTTTAAGAGCTTTGAAGAGGAAGAGAAATAAAAATTGTCATTCTCATTTAGTAAAAGATTATCAAGAGAACCAATGTGCTTGCCTTATTTTTAGAATCAACTCATTTTAAAAAAATTCAATAAGGAGCTCATTTTGTTCTTAGTGCATATTTGTAAGACTAAGGCTGAGGTGAAATTAATAACGGACTAGTACGAATAAAGGTATGTTTGGGTATTTTTAGCAGAGAGGATTAAGTTCAGTCTAATTACTGGCACTCAGAACATCTGAAAGTGCCTATTCTTATAGTCAAAACACATGACCTCTCCACAGTCAGCCCTACACCAGCTGACTGCTGGGGAGTGGAGCTCAACTGTTCTCAGTACCCACTGGGATGCCCTTCGAAATTATTTTGTTGAAAAGAAAATCAATACAAACATCTCCCACAAAGTCTCGAGCTCATCATCTGGCAGTGTGTGTGTTTTTTAATAAGTTTGAAATGACTTTCATCCACTGCCTCTGCTATAAAATACCGCTCAAAATAGGACTGAAGAAAACACCCTGATCTCAGGCTCTATTTTCAAGGGGTCTTCACGAAAATTTCCCTGAAGAGCCTGGAAAACAAAGGTCAAAATTGTGTCAGAGATGCCAAACGAAGGAATAGCACAAACAAGGCCTATAGCTCAAGGTCCTGTATTAGCCTCATGCCGTCTGATCCGCCTCCCCAAAAAAGGGGAATTTGGATAGGCAGGACTCCGGATGAAGAACCTGGATAAGACAATTTAAGGAGCCCACAGTAAAGGTCACCTGCCGATATGAACAGAAAAGTGCTGGATCAGAATTTCTCAGGAGTTAAATGGAAATGCTTTTGCTTAAAAGGTCTTCTCTTCCAGCTGGGCTAGGGAAAACAAATCGTCTGTTTACATCAAGTGAGGGGAAAATGCCCTCAAGCAGTAGACCAGATGAAATACTCAGTACAAAATCAAGGAGAGATCACAAGAAACTGACCATAAATTGTACCTTTTGTATGTCAATGATATCTTATTAATGCTGTTATTAGAGAGGAGGGAAATCCATGTTTCCTTTACAGGAACTCGAAGTAAGGACCAGTCAGGTTATATTACCTTTCATAGACCTAAAAAAGCCAAGGCCGTCACCCAATTTAGGACAGCCTGAGCGACAAGACACACCAGATACCTCATTCTCTGCAGCAGCTTAAAAGCCCGTTTTCTCAGCTGCAAGATTCATGATTCATGGCCCCGATTCCCTTGCTGGTATTTTCCTCCTCCACACGGGGGACTCCTTCCCCTATCTATAAATAAGCTTAAGTCCCTCATACTGTTTTAACCCCACTCGTATGTCTATGGGGAGGGGTGGGTACCACCTCCGCTCCTCTCCTTCACAACAAAGCTCCCCAAAATAGATTACACTTGCTGTTTAAATTTCTCCACCTCTTCACACTTCATCCTATTACATCGAGAGTGCTGTCTCTACTCCACTGAAAATGTTCTGGCAAAGAGCCCTCTGTAAAATGCTCACTGTAATGGATTTTTTCTTCATTTTAATTGAACTTCCTATGGCATTTGGCACACTTGTGAAACTCTCTCCCTCCTTAACTTTACTGACCACATACTTACTCTCTGGTTCTCATTCAACTCTTAAGTGCCCTTTGCCTGCCAATGAAACGTTAGTGATCTGACACCTTATGCCTAATTTCCCCCAGACTTCCATACCTACAGCCACCCCCATCGCACTAGGCTTCTCCGTAGGGAAGTCATGGAGGCATCCCAAAGTCAGTCTGTCCCAAAATAAGCTTCTCTGCTTCACCATTTTCCCAAGTCAGCAAAGCCAGAAATGTGATGCCACCCCACTCTTCCCTGCCCCCCTACTTCGAGTAATGGCCCAGTGTCAGCAAATTACTTCTGGGGCTGCGGGCCTCTCCACGTGCTGAGCTGAGTAGCCTTCATCCTAGCTGTCAGCTCACAAACGCCTCATCCAGTTTGTTACTACCATGATCTTGTAAGGAATGCAAACCTAAATCTTCTTTCATCCTTTGCCTACATGATTAAGTTCTACCCCAGTCACTAGCATATGACCTTGATCTCTCATATTGTTATTTAATGAAAAACTGAGCTTTGCAAGCTGCTGAACTGTCTTTTGAGAGAGGAGAGAGTTCAAGTGAGGGGTACTGGGGCCCCACGAGGGATTTCACAAGCAAGGTTCCACTTCCCCTTGTTTTTATTAAGGTTCTACTACTGGGGTGAGCGGGGAGAGACTCTGAAAGGATCACTTCACTACCCTAAGATAACTCCCAACTTTAAAATTCGGTGATTTTTCTGCGACCTTTTTCAGTAGGCATAAATTGCATACCAAATCTCCCACAGATGATTTCTACTGTGAAAAGCAATGCTGGTAAAACTCCCCCAATCCTCTGCATGTCTTCCCCCGCCAGCTCCTCTACCAAAAGCCCCATCCATATTTGGAGTGGAAGCACAGGACTTCCCGCCAGCCCTCTGTGTTTGCTGCACACCTCCCAGACTCTCATATGAAGAAACGTGCATCTTACACTCAGTAACTAGTCATAGGGGAACAGAAAGGAGGAAGAAAGTGAATGCTCTTCCATAACATAAATATAATTAAGTATTTTTTCAATTGTAAAAGATTTTTTAATAAGAGAATTCTGTTATTAATAAAGAACATACTACTAACAAGCAATAAATGTTTAAGCTAGGCATAATTGCATTATTGACCTTACATAGCTAAACATAATCACTTATGTTCTTAATAAAATAGCTTTATAAGCTACTTCCTGCTTTTATCAGTTTAGTCTGAGTAATCAAATAGAAAACTTCACCTTTAACCTATCTCATCCAAAAAAGTCTTCAATAATTATTATATAAATAATAATAATAAATGAGATTTATAAAAATGTCATTTCTTAAAAGCCAGAAGTCTTCACATTCTACGTGGGCTAGTATTTGAAATTTCAACTTTCTGATGCATAAATACCATACCTCTTGTAAACAATCTTCAGATCTCGCCACTCGAGAAAGCTGCACATTTTAGGCTTCCGAGCCAAGACGGTTTGAACGAGTTCCCTTGTGATCTTTTTCTTCTCTTTGTCTGACAGGGGGACGTACCATTTCTGCAGTCGCAGCTTCCCCTGACGACTAAAAAGCAACATAAACTGCATCTGTTAAGATAAATAAAAACACGGTTACCCGCAATAGATTCAACAGAGTTAAGATGGAAAGGAATGCTTTTTAGACAAGGAGGGGGTGGTCGACAATAATTAATAGCCATCAAAATTTCTATGTTAATTAAAACAGCAGGAAATTCTTGTTGCAAAAGCTCTTCCTATATGCAAAACCTTCCCAGCCCACCTTGTTTCACTTAAGTTTGGAAAGGAGTGCACGGAAAAGAGACATGTTCAGCTAGAGTGAAATTTCTGAAGAAAAAGAGTACTCTTGCCATTTCAAATGCTATTTTCTGTTTATGCCGTATGTCTGTCTGCAATCTCTATATGTACCACTGGAGAGCTAGACACATCCTTTGGTTTAGGTACATTCGTAAGAAAGAGAAGCAAGCCCTCTTTCACCCGTCGCCAGTCTAGTTCCAGGCTGAATTCCTTGCAGACCAGGCTGCTATCCTTAGAAATTCTCTCTCCAGTTTATGCTAGCATAGTTGAAGCAAAAATTATAAAATCTAAAATATTCAAACACCTCCCAGGGGGGGAAAACCCATAAATGGATGCTTTCTTTAATAAATAAAAGTCCAGTATTTAAACATTATCACCTTGTTAAAAAAACCCAACATAAATAATCCAACACAAAAACGACATTTAATGTAGTAGCATCAAAGAGAACAGAAACCTAAGTGCCAATAGTAAGAGCCACAGCTGTTCAGAGAAATTACTTGAAATAGTTCATTTTAAAGCCATCAAAAGCAGCATCTCCAGAACCGGTGGAGGCTGAATTTGACAGTATTTGGTACTTAATTTGTGTGTAGTTATTTAGAATCTGCAAATCAACAGATGTCGACTCGTCTCCATGTTTAATCTTTAAGGAACCTTTCGTGTAACAACAGAACTGGCCATCTCAAGTGCGCAGAGAGATAAGCATGGTTTACAACAAAGGTAATTTATCGGCAGAATCTTCTCCTAACTATGCCAAGTTCCTGCAGCAGCGTCACTGCGATTGGAAATCACAGCTGGTTTTTAATCTCCACCACATCATCTCGAAGAAGGGACACGGGAGGGCGGAATTTCCACGGTCAAGCTGGACTAAAACGGGGCCCTCGGTTCCCAAAGTCGCCCAGGAATTCGTGTCATTTCTTTGCAACAAGCCTAAAAAAGGCATCAGCAAGAGATGTGGGCATTCGTGACGCGGCCATCGAACTTTAGTGTAAAGTTAAAACTGGCTGGAAGACGCCCAGGCCGATCTTTGCTCGCCTCAAAGCCCCCGGGGGCACCAAATGTGCGGGATCCAAGTGCCCCGCAGAGCGAGCCGGCCTGGGGCGTGCGCTGCCGGGGAGGGGAGGGGCCGGCCGGCGCCGCATCGGCGGGACCTGGTGAATTGTCAAGGCGTTTACCGAACTTGGAAAAGAGGAGACTGTTTTCCTAGAGCTTGATGTCCAGGAAAGGTGGGGGAAGCGAGCGAGGCCGGTGCCCCGGGCTGCGGCAGCCTCGGCCCCCCCCCCCCCCACTTTAACGGACGAACGCATCACTCACTCTCCTGAGCAGCGGTCCAAGCCCGGCCGCCCGGGCCGCACTGCCGGGCTCTCATTCTCCCCGGCACGACGATTCCTAGAGCTCGGGTTTAAAAACAATGGGCTCCGCCGCGGGGTGGGCTCCGGGCCAACGTTTTTTCGGGGCCGGGCGTCGCCGATGCCCCCTCTTGGGGCCACGCTCCCTCCCAGGGCCGCCGCCGCGGGGCGAGGGGCCGGCGCCGAGCGGAGCAGACAATGGCATCCGCCGCCACGCAGGGGGCGCCCGGGGTCCCCGCTCGCTGCGGCCCCCGGCCACGGCCCCTCCCCGAAACGCCCCGCAAAACTTGAGGCGATTCCGCGAACCACAGGTGCGGCGGGGCCGCGGCGGCCCGGACGGACCTCCGCATCCCAGGGCGCGGACGCCGGGACAAGTGAGTTGCGGGTCGAGGAACCCGAGTGCTGCCGGGCGGACGTGGGGTGGGCTTGGCAGGGCGCGCCCGGCCCTCCCTCACCCTCCCGGGCCCCGGGCCCCATTTGTCCCCCCGGGACTTACTGCGGCCCCGGGTCGCGGCAGCGATGGATCTCGGCTGGGAGCAGCGACTAAGGGGAAACCCCTGTCGCTGCGCTGAGGAGCAGCAGCCGTGTTGCTGAGGGGAGGGGACCGGCTCAGAGAAAGGCTGGCTTAGGCGGCGAGGGGAGGGCGAGCCGGCAGACCCCGCCCAGGAGGCCGGCCGAGGGAGGAGCTGGGGTTGCGGCGAGCGAGGGGCGGGCTGGGCGACGGGCGGGAAGCTGCCCGGCTACCGCCCACGACACCGGAGGCAGAGCCGTCGACCGCGCAGCCTCGGGCAGCCGATTGGCCGGCTGGCCTCGGCGCTGGGTGGTGCGAGCCGGAAACCTGACCACGTGACCCGGAAGCGGCTGCCGCCAGAGCCTGCGTGCCTGCGCGCCGACGCCCTTGCCTTCTGGGTGCGCGCGGCTGCTCCCCCTGCTTGACAGCTGTGGGGAGCTGGGGTGTCCTTTGCAGATGCCATCGTGCGGGGCGTTGAAGTCCCCGACCTGGAAGAGTCCCATTCGAGCTCTGATGATTATCCTTTGCCCTGAGAAGCTGGGAGCAGGCTGATGGGGAGAGCGCCTGCAGTTCGGTGAGCTCCTTGGAGCTGCCAGCCTACCGCCAGTCTCTTTCTCATCGCTTGGCCGCCGCCCTAGTCTAGACACCTTTCGCCCTGGGCTTTTCAGTCCTGTCTTCCTTGGGTTTACATCGCCCTTCGTTGGGGCTGCAGACTCGCTGAGTGACTGACTGTTAACTGCTGCAAAAACCAAACACTCATCTCCGAGGCTACTTTATCCCTACCTGCCTGCGTCCACTTTGCCTTTGCCAGCGAATTATTCTGCAGGGATACCCTTCCTCAATTGTAACCTGTGAAGCCAGACGCTAAAACTTCCTAAGAACATCTGTCTCTTAGTCCTGTGCCTGTTGGCCTCCATTTAGTACATAACCTACAATTGTGCTCCACTTTGCATCTCCAATTCTACTGCCAGACGTACAACAACTAATAAATATGACTTGGCTGATAAGGACTTTCAAATGATAGATGTGTTCAGAACTGGAATTCTGAGCCTAATGCCTGGCACATAATGAATGTTCATAATTTTTTTGAATGGAAGAATTGATGAATCATCTAGTCAATTCGTCTTTTACAGATGAGGAAAGGGGAGCCCCACGGGATTAAGTGACCTTGTTCTAGCAGCCACGGGTTTCCCATGTCAAATGCTATTCAATACCCCTCTCTCCTGGATTCTTACAAAGGAAGCTAGAAAATTGTTCATTTTGGTCCATGCCCTTTCTGCTGAGGATGCCGAACAGTCTCTTAAAGATTTTTTTTTTAACAGCTCCCTGTAAAAATAGGCTAAATATTTAATGAAACGAAATTTAATCAATTTAAAGGAAATCTTTATTAAGGATTGTGTCTTTCCCTTTTAAAAAGGAAAAATACAATCTCCATAAGATTAAAATAGTTTCTAACTGAGGCTGGGGCATTTTTTGGTGTCCTTATTTAGCAAATAAAAATTGATAGCAATATAATACCATCACAAGGAGTATCTGGTTAAGTGTTGGTAGTGCTCCTTGGAAATTTTTCTACTAACCGTTAGGAATAATGAGTACTAGAATACAACAGAGTTTGCCTATCTGTACTTTTTAGGCTTCTACCCAAAATTCTCCCTGTTCCCTACCCGGTCATGCCCCAAAGGCATATTCCGATGTCTCTTCTCCCTCGTGACAGAAAACAGATGTCATTCGTTCAAAGATAGCTCTGATTACATAGCCTCTCATGCCGATCCCCCCCCCCCCCCCCGTGCAAAACAGCCATCTCCCCAAGGTTTCAGAGATAGCCACCTCCGCCAAGTTTCAACTCATTGGTTCTGCTCCTAATGTCGCTCTGGGGCCTTCGACATGCTGATTCCCCATGGGCACACAGTGGGATTCTTAGCTTCACAGAGGTGGAGGTGGGGGGCCGAGGGGGAAGGAATTATGGGAAAAATAATTAGCTGCTGAAAGCAACTATTACATAATCTTGGGTGCTTATTAATTTAGCAGAGGGAATGGCTTATTCTAATAGCACCAGCACAACTGCAAACAGCCTACCAATTAGCAGTGCAGGGCCCATTATTTTGTTAATATATTCTCCTCTTCTGGCAAGTGTGGGAGAACAAAATTTATAGGAGCAGATGGTCTTTTTCAGGAGATTATAGATGGTTTATTCCCTAGTCTTAATATTAAGTGCTAATTGTGCATTCACCATGAAAGACAAAAGCAGCACTGTTGGCATCTTTGTTAGTAATTAACAGCTTGACTTTGATTCCTAAAAATTTGGAATTCGGGGCATTTTTACATCCACATTCCTCACTGAGTCTCTTTATCTGTCATCTCAGTAGGGTATCTCTTTTTCAATCCTCTACTTTTGTTTTGTATGCAGTCCTGATATTTTGTTTGTTTGTTTGTTTTAATCACCGTACAAAAAGTGTCTTTGTGAAAAATTTAAAGATCAAGATTTTATAATTGCCTCTTATATTTAAAAGAAAAGTGCATCGCTTCCACTTATGCTAAATATCAGAAGTCAAGATGAAATAGGGTTTCTCTTGTCTAATAACAGAAATTACTCAGTAGTTCTCTATTCTCACATACTTAGGGCATGTTGATAGGAGAGGCTATTCCTTGGGGAGGGCCATCATGCTTGGGAAGGTGAAGGTGGAGGGCTGATGAAAGACCCCCAACTAGAAGGATTGACTGCCACGATGGGCTCCAGTATGTCAGAGATTTGTGAGGTGGGCACAAGATGGGACAGGGTTCTGATCTGTTGTTCATAGGGTTGCTATGAGTCATACTCAACTTGGTGGCACCTAACAGCAAAAACATCCAAATAATAAAATTTTAAGACTCTTTTCAGGGATCCTGTTAGAAAGTTTTCCCTTATGGTTTTCATATTTCTTGATGACCACGTGCTTTGAACTGCTCTTCCTCTCAGAACACCGTGAAATGAAGAGAAAGGAATGTTTCAAGCATCAGTGCCAGGTTGGCAGAACACATTTCAGTGAACTCTATGTCGTCATCATTTAACCACTGACAATTGATTTAAGCAAAAATCATAACAGAATTATATTGAGAAAATGCAGGAGCAGAAATGAAGGGAGTGTTGAAATAATGCAAACTCCTCACGCACTAAGGAGCACAACAGATCACATCTAAAATAAATTGGGGGGAGGGAAACATGTTTAGCATAGTCTGGATAATCAGAGCCTGTTGCTGTAGAGTTGTTTGTGATCCATGGCGGCCCCATGTGGCATACAGTAGAACTGCTCCATAGAGTGGCCTAGGGGGTAGGGTCTTGTGCTGCCAACCCAAAGGCAGGTGGCTTAAATCCAGCAACAACAATCTGCTGTGCCATTTACAGCCTCTGAAAACGTGCTGCAGGGTCAGCTGCAAGTCATTTCCAACCGGACAGCAATGAGAATGAGTGAGAGAATCTTTATAGAAGCAGATCTGCAGACTGTCGTCTGTGGGGCCACCAAGTTCCAACCTGATGGATAGTAATCCAGAGTAAGCCATTTGCACCACTGAGACCTTTGTCTTGAAATAAAACCAACTTGTTATCATCAGTTGATTGTGACCCTGTAGAATCAAAAAGAGAATCAAGTTCTCGGGGCTGTAATCTCTATAGAGGAGCCTTGGTCCCGCGCATTAATTGTTGTGTCACTAACTGAAACATTGAGGGTGCACATCAAGACCGGCAGCTTCCTCCTGTTAAAGTTTGCAACCTCAGACACTCGGTGAGTGGAATCCATTCAACAGCAGTGGATTTGTCTCTGATTTGTTTTGGGTGTTGTTTTTTCCCCCCTTGTTGTGTACCGTAGACTCACATTGGAGAAGATTGCCCCTCCTTCTCCAGTGCAGTATCTGGTGGATTTGAACCATGCGCCTTTGGGATTACAGTGCAGCTTCTTGCCACTAAGGCCACCAGAGTTCCCTGGTTTGGTTTTTAAATTGTTACAGAAGACTGCCATCTCTCTGGCCGTCCCAACCACTAACTTTGCTCTTGGGGTCAAGCACTTTAACACCTTACCACCAGAGCTCTTTGATCTTGAAATACTAGAACGTAAATTCCAGAAGCAATGGAAAATTTCTTTCTAGAAGTGGAGTTGGGAGGTAGGTTGCAATAAAGGCTATTATTACATTTTATTCTGGTATTAGTTTTACTTCAATAATGTTTTTTGAGGGGTTTTTTAAATAAACACTTTTTTGTTGGTTTTAGAGTATTTTTTAAAATTTCTTTTTATTTTGTTTCACATACAAAATTCATATATATTGTGTTTCATTCATATTGTGCTCCACACATTTCTATTTTTTTAAAAAAGCAACATATATATATTTTTAAAGTATATTCTTTCCATTTAATTTTTTCCCCATTCATTCATTGTTGCACATTTTCCTCCCTGCCCACCCTCCCCCCAGTTCGTTTTTCTCTTTGAAAAGAAAAAAAAATTGTTATACAATCCCCCCTGCAAATCCACAGTCCATTTTATAATGAATTTCTTTTTGTGGAATCTTGTCATGAAAATAATACCTAATCCTATATTCCTTTTAAACAGCTCTCTCCCTCATCTGTTTCAATGCAGTATACATTATTTATCCCCTCTTAAGTTCTCCCAAACCCCAATGTCAGTACCATTTTACAACAGTGGCACTATGCAGTATTTATCCTTTTGTGACTGAGATATTTCACTCAGCATAGTGTCCTCCAGGGTCACCTATTTTGTATAATATTTCATGAGTTCTTTGTTCTTCAGTGCAGCATAGTATTCCATTGTGTGAATATACCGCGGCTTCTCTATCCATGCGTTTGTTGATGGGCACTTGGGTTGTTTCCATCTCTTTGCTATTATGAACAAAGCAGCAATAAACTTGGGTGTGCATATATCTGCTTGGATGTCGGTTATGGTCTCTTTAGGGTATATTCCCAGTAGTGGAATTGCTAGGTCAAATAGTATTTCTATTTCCAGCTTTTTTCAAAAGTGCCATACTACCTTCCAGAGTGGTTCTACTATTTTACACTCCCATTAACAGTGAATAAGGGTTCCAATTTCTCCACAACTTTG